CACTTACGCTTTAGTCTCGGCGGCGAGTAGTCCTGCACTCGGCGAAGGAAATTACGAAATTAATAAACGTGCCTGATGAAACTGAACGACATCCCCTCTTATTCCACTGCCTCGCAAGTTGATCCCGAAACCCCTCTTCACCAACCCGTATATTCCTTGAAGGCAAGAGTCCATGCCCTGAGCTACCAAAAATGAAACCCAACACAAAACCCCTTGTAACCAGCCGGGCGTCCTGATGTACAGAAAGAAATAGAAAGGACGGTTACACTAACCATGTAACTATAGAATGTGATTCAGAACACTGCATTTACATGCATAAAAGTAATACATTAATTATAAGATTTCAGATAAAAAATTTGTACGCATGTTGGGTCAGTCTACTTGTGAAATGAGCATAACAACACATAGCCTATACATTCATATAATCAACATATAAGTCCATAAACAAGCTGCAGAAATTTGGAGGACTAATATAAAATATTTTAATAATGGAATTCTACAAACAACTTTTGAAACCGATTCCTTCTTAAAACATTCAGTTATTTCCTTCCCTGTCCTCATCACATCCACCTGCATGTCTGCAGGTAACTTTGAACCATTGGTAAACTTCTAGCAGACTATACGGCACAGCGTCCCAGAACAGTCATCTTCTCATTTTGTGAAAAGATACCGTTCTGACAACAACATTATACTTTCCTTACTGTACGTGATAAAAGCAGCTGAATCTGCGGCTAACCATGCAGAAATAAACAGAACCACAAACACGAGAATCACGAACTCCACTCAATGCAGAACATAATCTGAAGCAAAAGATTATAATACCAAACAGTAAACCGCATGTGTGTAAATGTGAACAACATACAAACAACAGTTTGTTTCAGCTATAGTTGACATTTCATGTAGATAAGTATTACATTAGCTTAGTAAAACATTACAAGTATTTTCCTGTAAGTCAGATTATAATGATTCATGTTAAAATTTAAATATCTCATGCCTACAATATGCTGAAGGAAAATTCTGCAAAAACTGCAGTTATATGTTCCAGATCTTGGACCAGTAAAAGTTGATGAACATTTATTATCATGAAAAAGTGACAAAATAGATGAAAAGATAAATGCTGCAATGCTCCAAGCAAATGTGCCCTGGAATACCTTCAAATCTCATACACCATAGTGGTATAACTTCAGATTCTTTTGAAAGTAGTATTTTAAATACTGGTTTTAACCCTACTGCTACCGCCATGGTGGTCTAGCAGTTAGAACGCTGGGCTTGTAAAACTGGGGTCCTGGGTTCGATTCCCGGCGGTGCTCAGATTTACAACTTGTGTTGGGCAAGGCGTTAAATGCTGCGGTCCCGATTGAACCCATGTCCTAATGGGTTGTGAATCCCGCTAACCACCAATGCACACCATGCTGAATGGTGTGTACTGGACACAAAAAAACCCTACTGCTACAAAAATCAACTTCAGCTGAATGTCTGTACACTACAGCATACTAAAGAATTCAACTCTGGTCCACATCGAAGAATAATCTTCTGTTCCTGCTGCAACACTCGGCTTTATAATCTAACCCAGGGGTTGTCAACCTGGTCCCTACCGCCCACTAGTGGGCGATTCAAGCTTTCATGGTGGGCGGTGGGGGTTTTTGTCCGTTGTTACAAATTTGGTTCTTCCTCCATATATCGAATACATTGCTAACAACTTCGCGAGTTTGACTTTTTAAAATATGCTTTTGCAATTTACTTTTGAATTCCATTTCTAAACTTTAAATATAAATAATAATTCACCGGACACTTCTCGAAGTATAATTGTGGACGAGGGAACAACAAATGAGCTCCGTAGCCAAAAGCACGAGGTTAGTGTGCATAACGACAGCGGGGTTTACCACCGGCCATCACTCAGTCTTTGAGCTGTACATCTTTCATGGTGGTGGGCAGTACGTGCGACACTGATCGGCAGTAAGAAAATTTTACCATCAACAAAGATACAAAGGTGGGCGGTAGGTATAAAAAGGTTGACGACCCCTGATCTAACCTATAAAATTGTGCTCTTGTTGATCTGTATAGTGCCGCCACCTAGTGCGAAAAGTTTGATGCTGCAAATTAAAGCCACGTGGCTGCCATGTTTTTTAAAGTTTTTGTTTAGAGTATGACTTCGAAACTTGCGGCAACATTTCTCTATTTTAAATAGCTACTAGAATGAATAGAAATGTTTCATAAATATAACATTGAGTATTGATGGATGTGTTGGTAACTGTGATTGTTATTTATATACATAGTAATCTAACCCCCATAAAGGGTTCAGATTTTTACCTCAAAATTACATTCTTTTAGAAAAGTGGTAAAAGATGACATACAGCAAAACGGTGAAGTCATAATCATAACCACAGAGACACAAAGCACGATTATTGTTACGTTCATGCCATACAAGGTTCACAAGAGAAATTTGGTAAAAATAAATTATCTATATGAGGAAGTATTTTATGAGCACTACACGAAAGACACTGACGTACTACAGTAAAATTCATAGACATTTTCATATTTTCAATTAATTTGTACAAACAACTTTTCAGTCACATATTTGGTAATTTACAGCTTACCAAGTCAATGACCAACTTTGGAGATTCCCAACCAGATGGATCCTCCTCATCAATGTCTCGTATGTCTGGTGGCTCCACCTTGATCTGTAGGATAAATGTTAACACTATATAGAATTTGAATGTTCTTTCCACTTCATGCCTGTGACTTATGGGGATGTTTCAAAATTCATATTTTGTATTCTAATTTTATCTCTGATATAAGGATAATGCTCTTGATTCTCAATTTCAAGGTAATACAGCAAGAAATAGTATAAATTACCGTGGCTGGAAGATCATCATCTATGTAGTCATTCATTGTAACTTGCACAAATGGTAAAGGTTGCTTGGTAGCCACTGGGGCAGATGCAACTCCACTATCGCTTGCTGTCTGCAGAGTTGCTACTTTTGCTGAATTATCTGTAGATACTGCATCTTCACAACCCTTCAACATTACACATTCTTGTGTTACTTCATGAATATGGTATGTTTAAATCACTTGAAGATATGAATAACAATGAAAACAGTTGTAAATGATAAAGTAACAGTCTGTCCAAATGGAATTACAATCCAACAAGATGACTTCTTACTGGATCTATAAGATCACAACCAAAACACAGAGAAGACCAATAATTGAGCAATGCGATGTAAATCGTAATCAAGCAAAGTATCAGCATTTAGAGTATGCAAACTTAAACATTTTTTAAAGACTTCATACACGTATTCCTTGTTTTATAAATGTTAAAACAATAAATTTCGTATCCAGTACGCACCATTCAGCATGATGTGCATTGGTGGTTAGCAGGATTCACAACCCATCAGTACATGGGTTTGACCGAGATCGTGACATTTAACGCTCCTGCTGTGACCCCCTTTTTTCGAAATGTTGATGAAAGTGGAGTAATTGTTGGGATGCCACGGAGAAACTGGGGAAACCCGGAGGAAAACTCCGTGATGCCTGGACCACAGCCTTGCCCAACACAAGTTGTAAATCTGAGCACTGCCGGGAATCGAACCCGGGACCACAGTATTATAAGCCCAGCGTTCTAACCGCTAGACCACCATGGCAGGGTGTATTATCCTACTTGACTGGGTGATGGCATCATCATAGAAGATTCACCCATATAGTTGCAAAGCTGGCTGGTGATTCCCCACAAAGAAATTCAGAGGATTTTAGCAAAATTTCCCAGTATCAAATTTCATGGCCAATCTTTCAGGTATTCTCAAATTCTTGAATGCATTCAGATGGACAGAGCAATTTTACATTAATTAAATTAATTACTCAAACATAAACATACAGACTGTTCTCTCAAGGTCCACTATATCACATAGGTTTGTGTAATGTGGACCGATTTCGGAACACAATTTTTGACTAATTTTTCATGGTTTTGAAACAACTTTTTTATAGTATCTATTTATGTTGACACTGTTAACTGCAATATATCAGGTTCTCAGTTTACTCTACCCACATGACTTCTGGATTTGACAACACACTCACCGGCGAGTCTGAGACTTTTCTACGCTTTCTACGAAGGTGGAGTGGTGTGCCTTGTGAGTTACCATCAGTTTTCTCAACCACATCATCATGTTGCTGCTGCTGCTGTTGTTGTTGTTGCTGTTGGTTCTGTTGATTATCTGCACACTGAATGTCTCCTTTCTCATACTTGTTACGCACATTTGACAATCCTTTCACCTGCAAAGTCTCAGCTGCTGCCAACAAGCCTTCCAGCTCAGCCTCCAACACCTACAATACATTCAATATCATAAAGTACATGTGTAGATGAATGTTGGTAATATAATTAATACATAAATAAAAGATCTAAGCCACTGATACCAAAATGCATATTCTAAAGATGGCTAATGGAGCACTAAGATATACTCCCAATTTATCTGCATTTCAATATTCACAAATACATACGTAAACAAACACACACACAAACAGATTGCAGTTTAAATTAACCTAAAAAGAATAAAGAGTACAGGTATCCCCTGACTTAACCTGTTCACGCGGAAAGTTTAAATACCCCGCATATACCGCTGTTGTGTTGTGATGGCGGTAGTTTTTTTTTAAATGTCCATTTAAATTTTGCTGTAAAATACTTTTTTTTCATAACTTTTGAACTATATGAGATATAATTATGAATTTTTCACTGAAATCCTCTTAAAAGGTGGTTTTGTAATCTTACCTTATAAGATGAGCACCCTGTGTGTGACCAATGAGAGCAAGTGGATCAGAAGTTGAGTTTTGTGTGGTAGTCCTTGAAACAGCCATACATACACAACCCTGCCTCACACTCACTACACCAATAAGTCGAATCCCATCAACACAAATAGAGCCAAAACCATTACAAAATGCTTCTCTTGAAGCAGTAAATGATTCTATACTTTCCCACACATACTTGCCGGAAACAATACCTGAATTTGCCTCTACAATTTGTTCCTGGCTTTCGCCACCACCATTGTCACTCTCATTATCACTAATCGCACCAGTTCCCGGTGTCACCAACTGTGTATAGTCAAAGTCTATACTCTCAGTGTCCGAGCTACTATAATTGTCACTTTCATCGTCTAGAAGTGCCCTTTGTTCAGCGTCAGACAACACAAAACTGGTTGAAGTATTCTCCATTGCAAAACTGAGGCCAGGCGTTTATTTTTAGACTCCCAGGTAGTCGCAGAAGGGATATTCAACAGGGTTGCCGGATCTCAACACACAGAAAACTTTCCACAACAGAGTAGTACAAACCTCATTGCACTGGCGTTATTCGTTACAAAGTTATGAGCCGTAGAAATTAGGCTTAAAGCCAGACGTAATATTACACCAGACCGCGACCAGGAAAATTTAAATGCCGGACGTAATAGTACTCCACTCGCCGGTGAGGAGTTAAGTGAAATTTGTGTTAACACAGCTTTATAGGATTTTATAAATTTTCTTTACTACAGACTACACACAAAATTAAATTATTAACCTGAGACAAAAATTAGCACTCATAAACTACTAAAATAAATTGGATTAAATTTAAATGGGGTAAATATTTCACAATTAAAAATAGATCAGTAAAACCAAGTGAGTAAAAAAAAATTTCACGATCACATGATCTTTTAATTACATGACCACTCTTGCAAATGTTATTATCATGTGAATCAGGAAATTCCTGTACATGTTATTGTCCCATCATCACAACATAACACAAAATCATAAAAATGACAAATCCTTCACAAATGTGGCAAATTTAAAGCATTTAAAAATAACAGCAACTAGTCAAAACATTATGAATCATTAGAAAAATTAATAACTGCATCAATTCAGCAAATGCAGGCTGCTATTCAAAATATTTTATATTCAAAATGTCTAACTCGAGTTAAGTCAGGACAGCATAGTTTGACTAAGAACTTTCAAACTTAGTGCAATGCAAAGGAATCATGTTTCTGAGATCCAACTGGCAAGTGAAAGAGTCACAGAATCAGCAAATATCCTTCCCACTATAAATGTGTTAAGTACGAATTTACTGTATTTGAATGTGTTATACTTAGCAAATAGTCAAATAAGCCATAGTTCCTAATAATGCCAGCTAGACAAGTGAAAGATCTCACATCTGTGTTCTCTGTATACACTTTTAGTCAAATAAATAACTTATTTCCTTTTATACATTTATATTTGCAAAAAAGATGAGAAATAACATTCATACCTTAATCTCACCCCGGTACATGAATTCAATGACGAGCTTCATATCAATAAATTTCATCCCATTCATGATGATAATGGGGTGCTGAACTTGATGTTGCCTAAATAACTCCTGAAACACAATTAAATTAAATTTAGAAAAATGTATAGTAAACATAAATAGATCATCTTGCTGATGCAATTATACAAAGTGTCCCATTTAACATGGCACTCACCATGGCAGCACACAACAGCAGCAGAGAGCAAACTACTGGAAATAAGTTAGTCACAATGCAGAATATGGTCACAGAACCTTTAACAGGTGGGTTTCAAGGTATGGGAATATTTCTGCACAGCAAGGAGCTTTACAAGTCATATTTATCTCCCAGTTCTGAAGAGTGACACCATACAGTCTGAACTACTGACAGCATTGTAATTAAAAAAAATAATCATATGCAGACATAAAACATGTAATTTCTGCTATGTCTATATTTAAATAATGTTAAAAATGAGGTTTATGAACTGTGACCACAAACAGATGGCATCTTACAGACACAATTAACACATTCAATATCAGACATTTCTCCAAATATTCGAACATCCAAATATGTGTAATCAGTACTGAGACAGCCATCTTCAGACTTACTGCCATGAAAACCTCAAATCCTACTAAGTACTAAGATTATAAATCTAGACAGTGTAAATTCTGTAAAACTGAACCTGCATGAATGGGAAACCACATTAAATCATACAGATCAAAATTAACAAAATAATGCAATATGTTGGTACATATTATTATTGTTTACATAATGGACTTGCCTGGAAATAGGGACTGCATGCTGACAGTATCATCTTGTGTGCCTTCAGAAACTGTCCTTGACAAGACAATGTCACATCAACAAGATTCTCACTGCTCAAATGCTCCAAAAATACCTGAAAAATAGTAAAGCAATGTTTGTATAATTTCACATGTGTTCAATTTATTTCTGGTTCACTTAACCACACCAGCAATTGCTTAAATAATTACAAAAGTATACGTTATAAAATTATAGGATGACTACTGATTAAAAATTGGAGATGATAAAAAGAAGCAATCGTGGCTTTGATTAAAGTAATATGTCTTGAAGATATGAGAAAATCCATGAAAGATTTGAACCTTCACCCTCAAAAATAATATGAAACAGGAATGTAAATCACTCAACCACTACATTCAGCCAAATCTATTCAAACATGATCATTTGTGCTATGAATAACTAATAATTATGCAAAGAATGAGTTTGTGAAAACAGATAAATATTTAATTAGCAAACACCAACACTGAAAGTCATACAAATGAGAATTTTCATACTTTAACAAATGTCCCACCTTATAAGGAACATAAGGTCCATTACTGTGTTTACAACACAAAATTACCTAGACTGTCTCAAAATTACAGCACTTAATGTGCAGATATGAGCATGTGCCAGCCAAAGCCAGCCAAGAAAATAATATCGCTGTAGTCTGTTCCTAGTCTTAATCAGCTATTTCAATATAATGCCCTTCATTTGTAACATAATTAACTAAAAACTATGTAAACAAATTACCTGAAGAATGTTGTTTGTATGATTATTCCATCGCAAATTAAACTGCTGACCAGTTGCCATTGTAACAACATACACTTTAAGACAAGTACCTGAAATAAGCAAGCACATTTCAATAAAACTAACAAATACATAGTATAGAATACTTTATTTTCAATTAATGTAAATTTTCTTTGGTAAACTGGTATTTCAACTATATTTTATAGAGTAACCTGGTAACTGAAGATGGATGTCTTGTGGGTTGTTCCACTGCATAGTCTGGTAGAAGTTTACCAACATTTCATAGGTCCTTGCTGCCTCCATCATCAGCACAAAGATCACTCATCACCCTGATGATGGAGGCAGCAAGGACCTATGAAATGTTGGTAAACTTCTACCAGACTATGCAGTGGAACAACCCACAAGACAGTCATCTTCAGACTCACCGCCGTAAAAGCCTCAAATCCTACAATCTTGTAATCCCTTGTCCCTTGCGGGAAGAATGGTCAGGAAGGACTGTTAACACTGAACTATACCTCAAAATACTATTATTCCATTAACAGAATTAGAATAGAATGGAATTTATTTACCTCTAATAGATCCTTCACGGTACAAGCCAAGGATATGTAACAAATCATAATACAAATACCAACTTAGAACAATATAAACACAGAATTGCTACAGCTATTTACATAAATATTTACAATAAGGAGTTTTCAATGAAGTAAATTCTTCCACACAGCAGAAATGAGATCAAAGATTATCTCTCAGTTCTGGCTTAAAAACTTTTATATCATGACTTAAATTTGTAATGCTTGATGGACAAGTATTGAATAACTTCATATCGCCCTGATGACGGAGGCAGTATGACCTCTGAAATGTTGGTGGAAATCTACTAGACTACATGGCACAATAACCCAGAAGACAGCAATCTTCAGTCACCGCTGTGAAAACCTCAAATCCTACAACTTCATTCCTGCATAGCAAATGCCCTTCTGATAACTTGTGCATATCAAGGTCATGTTCATGTCTTGTCCTCATGGCAAAGCTTGGAGATCATATAATCAACATGTTTTTTTCCAGTTTAATTCATTGATTTTAAATGATTTGTTCAGGCTACAAAGACACATTGAATGCTGTCACTTTCAAGATCATAAATAATAATACAATAACGCATCAAGAACAGCAGAAGATCAGAATTTGATTTGATATTTGGGGGCAGATCATTGATATATATTAAAAAAGCAGAGGATCAAAAAATGAACCTTGAGGAACCCCATGTCTTATGATGCCTTAGCTTCAGTACGTGTTACAATGTGAATTAGGAAATTTCATTTCTACTCTTTGTTTTCCACTATTATGGGATGATTCTAAATCCGAAGTGTACTTCTGTGAGAATATCATAAAAGTTGAAGGAATTACTCTCAGTAACATATGGTTTTTAAGAATTGTTCTAGTCATGTAATGCATTTCCAATTCCTTTGTTGGACTCCTAGTACTGTTTTTCAATGTATGCATAATCTACGGTACAGAAACAAGATAGGAGGAACACATTAGTTCTGTTTGTGGTTAGGATAAATGCATTTTGTCCATTGTACATGACTGTGGTACCACTAACAAACTGCAATAAATACATCATACAAGGCCTATATCACAAGAATGATGTTTAATGACCACAAATGTGTTCATATCAAAACATACTGCATAATACCACATGTATATGCCAACCTAACCTCTATTTCGAATTCTACATTCTTCATCGTTTCCAACGATGCATATTACATTATTCTTAAAAACAATTTCGACACCGTTTCCTCGTCAAGAAGTTAGGTTAGAAAATAAAACTTTACCATTTCTTTTCGCTTACGTAAGTATGTGTAAGTAAGGTATTCGGCACATCGTAAGCATGACCTTTCCACATATAATTATGACTACATGCTATCATAAATTATTTATATCAAAAATAACTTCACTGTATGACCTCTAAATGCAAGTATATAAAGATCAATAGGCCTGGTACTTTAGGCGTGACCCGTGTTGTAAGCCAAGCGCCATGTTTTATTAAACAATAAGCTTACTGTTGCAGAAAATTTTAACAATAGCACTTTGCCAGCCGGTTGAATAGTTGTTCATGAAATAATGCATGCAATTACAAATGAATAATCATATCACAAATACCTTTATATAAGCAAATATCTTCTAAATTATCACAATACCAAGCTTTATAGCTTTGCGTGCCCTTGCAGAGATTATTTGTTGATGAATTCCCACTGTAACAATCGCTGCATATTGCCCCATCTGTGAAAAGGATAAGAAAGTATGGAAAGTCACCTCCAAAATCTTGTAAATTTTCAAAGTAAATATTTTAAACAAACAACGTCCTAAATTAATAGATACAGATCAACGAAACGTAATTTTTATACAAAACTATACAATTTAAATGACTATGGGTCGTAATAGGTCAGGAAGCTCTGTAAAAGTAATACATTTTAAACATATTAGGTCGTATGTGTTTTATACGGTTAGTAAAGTCGTCTGCTGTAGTCCCCCCCCCCCTTATTTATTTGAAAATGACGTTGGTGATGTTAACAACAGATTAACATGCTTTGAACAAATAATTAAATTTGATTTGTCACATTTTTCACTGTCTAATAACTTGGCATCATATAGCTTAAATGTAAAGGAGTAATATCAGCTCCCTAGCGCACATATTTAAACTTCAAAATTTCTCGAAACAATATTACATTTACTACGTGACGGATTCGTCTGTGGACTTGAGTAACTAGGTACTGTACGGATATAAAACGTCGCTCTCAAGATGCATGCTGAGATTGCTGTCTGGTATTGAAACTTCTGTTTGGTAATGAGATGCCTCTTGCCGGCCTGTGGAGGTTGGGCAGAATCAGTAAAAACTTTTACATATAAGATTGCAACACCCTATAAAAAATAAACTGATGGGATAAATTATTACATATAGTACAAAAACATGGAATTTCACACACTGACACAATTACATAACAAATCCATGCTTGTCATGAATATATTAAGGTCAAGACCAGATATGAAGTCGTCCTTATGCCTAGGCAATACACCATGTAGGTAGTGGTGTGGTGGATGTAAAGCAGCCTAAGAGTGAATCTAATTTTTTGTTTGCATCTAACACCGCCTTAAGAATGAAGAACCTCAAATTAGATTAGACAAAGTCCTCATTTTGTTGAAATCAGCCTGTTTGTCTTCACTAGAAACACCAGAGGCAGAAGTATGCAACCAGAAATATTTCATGCACTAGATCAAATCATATTTTATTTTATATTTGTGACAAAATCCCACAAAATCTAAATCTCATTTTATCAAAGTCCAAGACACGTGTTTCTCGTCTTTCCTTTCAACCTTCGTGACAAAATGTAAACATTTCATTTGTGTCCATGGTGCAAGGAAATTATGGCGGAATGGATCACACTGCTGGAAGCATTATACTATCCTGTAAAATTTAGTAGTGTCCATGTTTTAATAATGAGTTAGTACTATCCGTTGACTCTCAGGAAGTTGGTCCACCTGATAATCCGTGGTGCAACCCTTCTCAATCCACAGCAATAGACATCACCCCTATAAGGCCACACAACCTGTTTTTGAAAAGATTAAACAGTCCAAGTTGAGCTTCATGTGTTCTTATACAGCATACTTATGCCCACTCACTTGATGGAGCAGAATACCTTTTCAGAAGCTGTTAGTCACTTATCCAGTCAAGAAATTTCCTACTATCAGTCCCTGTACTCAGCCAGATAAAACCACTCTAAACTCTCCCACCTATTTCCTATGGATCAATTTTAAAATAAAATTTCAGGATCTGGATATCATTCATCTGGTTCATCAGGCTTTTGTGAACATGGTGAAAAACCTCTAATTCCTGTAAAAGATTATGAACTTCTTGGTTAACTAAGTAATGAACAGCTTAAAGACTCTGCTCCACATGGATTTAATTAATAAAGTCATACCAGTTCTTAATACCAGCAGCCCAGTTTTGAAAAATAATATTCTGATATAAGTTTCATGTAGAATTCTACTAAACTAACATGGATTAACATGCCTCAAAATTATTGGAGTTGTAGCACCAAATAATGCATAAGATGTCTAGAGTCAGTTTTGATCTTTTTTTTGGTATTCCTTAAACAAAATGACAGTGATTTTTGAACCCTGAACAGATCCATACAGGCAGTTTAATCACAGGGTATAAATAAAAACAATTCTAATTTACTTTACTTGCATATACTGTACATATAAAAATGAATACATCAGATATATTAATATGTAAAACATGTTAATACATACAGATGTTAAAATTACATCACTTCAAGTAGATGCTATGAAAATCACAATAACCACACCTTTTTCCTGTTTCTGAAGTTTAGTATGACTGCAAGAAAGGTCCAACACATTCATCACACCTAAATGTGGCACTTAAAACCAAGCTCCTTCTCACACAGATATAACAGCTAACAACTGCATTTTATTTGGCACACTTGTTAAAACAATCACAAATAAAGAAACACTTTACTGATTACAGTCAAAAATGAATATATTAACACAGCAAACTCTTGTCATACACATTACATAGTATTATATACCACAAATGAAAATTTGAAAACTTAATTAGTATTTTTAAAATTATTTTGCTTAACTTTATCAACAGTCCGACTGTTTTTAAATATATCTGAACACAGTTTTTCAAGTATCCATAAAATTTAGTAGCATGCATAAATTTCCACAGTTGAAAAGAGGTCATCATTAGAAATATAAAGATGCTCATTAAATCTTGGGGAACCAATTTTAGATGCTTGCTTGCTTGCTCCCCCCCCCCTTTTTTTCCATAACTGATTTAAAAAATTCTTAAGTGAGAAGATTGCATCGTGGTAAATGGGAGAATGACTGCAGATGATGAATTTCAGAGGCTGTGGACAGAAATTCAGCCTGTTTCAAGATATTATTTTGGCATTTCTCTGGACAGATGGAAGAAAACTGTTAAAACAAATTAGTCTTTGGCCTCAGAAGTGAATTGAAAGCACTAGTATGGAATGAACGTTGGACTAAATTGTCAGCATTACCTTCTCAAGCAGATCAACCCAATGCAACTGTCCCCTCACTATGTGCCAAATCTGCTTCAGGATATGGCCATATAAGCTGAAACTGCATAGAACAAACATAACTTAACAAAACAATTAGGGTTAATTTGAAGCCTTTCACTGTATCACCAACAAGACCCAATGTGCAATACAGGTTCCTGCTACAAGAAGCTTTCTAATTTTTGAGATGTTCAAATACTGGCCAGGGTAGTTTCTATTCGTTTCAACAGTTTTCCTCAATCCTCCTTAGCTCCATGAACTAGGCCACGATCAGTTCCTCCATCATCATTTCCAATTATAAATTTAGTCACCCTCACATCTGACTGATACCTGTAATTGATATATTTGGTAAATAACCTGTGAATTATCTGTCCCACACAATACTATAAATTTCTCACCACACAGCAGATGGTACACACATGTACAATGAATGTGGTGATAAGGCAAAGGTCATGAATGGTCAGTCTTGCATCACTGTAGGAAGAACAGAAGGGGGAGACCTCCAGAACAACCATAGGCAGTATATCATCTTCACTTTACATCACCACACTAGAGGGGATGGAGGTGACAAAGATATAAACTATAGTAGCTGTAAATAAATTAAATGCTTCAAAGCCACAGAAAGACTTCACACATCTCCCAAAATAACACAATTTACAACTGGCAGAATGTCTGGATAAATGTTGGAAATGCCTGGCATATATAAAATACTTAATGGTCAGGTACAGAATGTATTTAGCAATAAAACATAATCACAGGATATTTACCATCAAATAACCTTTATAAAATGTCAAAGCAAAGATCCAGATAAAAACCAACGATCTGTAGAAAGTCAAGAGTTTGCTGCTCTGCTAAAGCAAAGTACTACAGAAAAAATGCTGTATCTACTAATGTAATTCTCATTTTATCTTAAAGTCATATTATTTTACAATATTAACAGTATCTTGCAAAAACCAAGCAAAATTGCCATTATTATTTATTAATATGATTACATAAAAAACATGCTTGAAAACATTTTAATTCTTAGAGTAACAATTCTTCACATCCAACATGAACCACTGAATCAAATAATGGTGATGGAAAATAGTTTCAGATGGCTTTAAAGTGGAAACAAAAAAGGGATGTTGTAAAAGGAATGCATGCTATGTGTTTTATGAAAAGATTATTACATCACAAAATACACAATAAAATGACAGCTGAGTTACAGTCATTGTCTCGAGGTAAAAGAATACACATTAAAAGAGGAAACAAAGATCACGTACTTAAAGGCCCAGGACCAGAAAGCCACTTGACAGGTTACATGACTAAAATGATTATGAGATATTACTATATCAGAAACCGGATGTTTCAAAAGAATCAAGTGAAGGTGGCAGGAAACACTTTCAATAGATGTACATTCTTTTAGAGTACCAATAACTATAATCCAGGTCTCAACTAGTTCTTTTCAGCACATTCAATAGAGGAGAAACCTTCCTCCCATTACCTGATGACAGAAGCAGAGTTTCCACGACACGTTTGAAGCTTCCAAAGATGATGGACAACAGCCAATATTAAAAATAATAATAATAATAATATTTATGGTAACACTTAGATTTAACAGTAATCTTACTTTGTACAATTATCAACTCAGAAGTAATAGGCAGATGGAGGATGTTAAATTCAAGTATGAGAAACGATAAACATAATCATCCATAGGTTACATGTTTGAACTGGAAGGAGCAAGGGAGGAAGTATTTCTGGCCTACTGCAAACCCAAGACTGAGGAAAAACATAAAAAACCTGTCAGTTGATATCTGAACTTATTTCCAAGTCAGATGAATTGTAGCTATGCACATCCTCGTGCTACTACAAATTTAATTTAAGATCCACATTATGCACAAATTTTACTAAACATATCCTTGTAATTTGTAAAAAGATGTGCTAGGAAATGTATCAAGACCTTTCAGGGAAATGACATATGAGATTTTCTGTATGGATATTGCATTATTGCTAAGCTCTATAATAAATTCAGTAGGAATAATTTAACCCAGGTACAAACAATGATTATGAGTTTTCAATCCAAAAACCTGTTGTGTTGAGACTCATTAACATGACACAATTATCTTTTCATAAACACATAATAATTAAATACTTTGGTCTGGCTTCTTAGACAGGAGTAGAAATAAAAACTATTATTTACGAGAATGAAATGAAAACCTACAACAGCATGTTTCCATGAAGAGCAGGCATAATACTGATCAAAGAGTACCTGGCCCACTCTATTTCATGACAATATTTTCTCACGGTGTTAGCTAGTGTTTCATTCACACATCTGTAGAAGGGAATTCACTGTACCATCCTTATTTCCTCTGTTGGCTTCAAATACAGATTTGATAACTTCCTTGTCCATGTTTGGAAACATCTCTTCAATCTGCAAAATAAACAAGAATGCAATATATCACATCACCACAACCCTTGACATTCATCCACCAGGATGGGTTGTCTTATGACAAGTCTTCTCCATTATCAAATAAGTGCTCCTGTTACACGTGCCCAATCTCTTCCCTCAACTGGTGTGTCTACCTAGTTCTTGGACATTATTTTTTATACTCTAATTCATCATTAATCAGTTACATACACTGACCCTGAATAATTTAATGTATACATAAAAAATTATTAATGAAATTGGGCGCAAGAGAGGATTTACTTTTTAACAGTACATGTTATGAAGAGTCATTTAGCGTTAACAGGTTACTTAATTACAGTTACTCAAGCCCAAACCCAATTAAAAATTCTACCAAAACAGTAATTCTGAATAATAAAGAAACAGATTGTCTCATAATCTCTTAGTGTGTAAAAATATGGTAGAGTAGTTAGGTTAGGTACACTGCTTTGCTTGCCTGTTTTAGCTCCTGCTCAGAAAGTTGCGGAGGCTGAGCCGGCTGAGGTGGCTGAGTAGGTGGAGCAGTATACACTGACACAGGAGCATATGAGGGGCGCACTCCATACATAGGTGTTGGCACCATTACCACAGGTCCTACTGAAGGGTATAGGGCATATGAAGGTTGGGCAGGTGCCAACTAAAAACACATGACACAATTGTTGTTAATGAAAAAAATTACAAACTTCCATTTACTAAGAAGCTACACCACTCTTTTAGAGGGCCCTACATTCAATCCCAAATCATAACTGGATGTCGGTCTCCCTATGTACAGATAAAAATCTCCGTCAACCCTTAGATCATGTAAACAAACAATTCCACGCATGATCTGTGTTTTGGAGGCTGCATTAACCTTCAAGTCCCTTTTGTTGATCATTATTCTTATCATCTCAGAGATACCTCATTTCAGAAATAAATCCCTTCACACTGCAAGTGGGCAAAAGCTAAAAATTTACCAGATATCCAGAAGATAAATGGAATTATTTATATCATAACAGGGTTTAATGAGAAGCTTTTGTAAAAATGACATCATGATGAAACTTCACATTCAACAAGTGATTTATTCACCACCTGAACAGTTATCATCAGTTCTCTCAAGATCACGTACTACAGAGTTAATTTGCTAAACAGCAGAGCCAATGAAGGATTAAAACTATTACTCAAATATACAATTTAATGAAAAACAAAACTTTTATGCTGAAAGCAAGACCAAATAGTACAAACCGCACATAAATTACACCTCTGTGAGCAACATTACTTACTGAATAACTGAGAACGAGGTTGATCATACCCTCCACGCCCTCACCCTGCTTGCCACTGAGAGGGTACCAATCCTCATGAGTCTCACCATTTAAGACTGCCTGTGAAATTGGGACATGTGCCCATGCAATCAGTTCATCCATTGTGAAGGAACACTCATCATAGATTTCAAGATAAATGCAAGTCACTCCTTGTGGTAGAAGGCTGCAAACACAAACATAAGCTCTGAACAAGAAGTAAGATCAATGTATTTCTTCAAATATGATTACAGTACAAAATAAATTAGCCAAAGAAGTAATAAATTATTAACGATGGTGATGTAGTTTCTTAGTTTATTTAATAATATTTTATCAACACTGCAAGTTATATACAGCAACGTACAGACAATTAAATGCAGTAACACTTCTGGTAACTCACCACTGTACAACTTTATTCCATCGTGGGTTTTTCCCACCGTTTGGATCAGTATGAGTCTCATAAACACAATGGCCCACTCTCAGTCTCACATATGGATCCATACGTGAAATACCATAGTTTTTCACCAACTTTGCCTGAAATTTAACTGAACATGAAAATCATGTTTCATACATCGTCCTTCACGTGCTGTACTCAGAATTGGTATCTGAAATAGGCTGATACAGTATCTCAAGACCATTCGTCCCACATCACACAAATATTAAAACAATTTTAATTTCTCATGACGTTATCAATAATTCTAAATTAATACCCACTGAAAAAGGGAACCAACTAAGGATACAAATGACAAGTTGAGGTGGTTATGCATCCATACTACAATTTCAAACACAAACTATTCACTTGGGATAAGTGTGTATTCTATAATAGTAACCAACACACCCAAATGAAGTCAACAGCAGTAGTACATACAATACATACCAAATCACTTATGTGCTACTGTACCTGTGCTACAGTTATGCTTAATCTTCCAGCAGTATTGTGGGCATAAGGAACTCCAACCATTTGCTGCTGCAAGGCAAGAGCAGCTTGTTGGTCGGCTGCTTCTTGCTGCTGCTGTGAAGCAGCTGTTATGCGCAGAAAGTCTGGTGGTAGTGTGCCGACAAACACCTCACACAAAACAGTATGATATAAAGCAACTCATTAATATGAATCATCATAAGTATGGATGGGATGGGTTGGGATGTACATGTGTAAAACTTAGTCTTTCAAATTAAATGCATAAAAAGTGTCTGAGAATAGAGTGCTGTGGAGAACATTTTGTTCAAAGAGACAGGTGGCTGGCAAAAATTGCATATTGACAAGTTACATAATTTATACTAATAGCCAAATACCATTATTATTTTGACCAGTTAAAGGAGAACGAACTGTGCACGTCGTGTACTGCACACAAATACGTCAAAATACTATTATTTAATCGTCATTTGAACAACATTGAAGAACCCTACAACAAACACAGGCATAACTGCATTCTGAATACATAAAATACTTAAAACCAAAATTATAACAGGTTATATTCAATAACTGACACTTACCCGTTTTCTTCGTTCAGCATTTTTCTCAGCAGCTGATATGTTTGCCATTTTTGATGACAATTTGTTCGTTTCTTCCTTTCTTAATCTACCAACAACGTATCGACGTTCGAAGTTTGAATTCGATAATCGAAACTGGCGTGAGAAACGTTCTAATTACTTTGCTCCGACATGTGCTTTTGTTCTGAACAAATTATGTAGAAGCATGTGACCAATAAAATAAAGTGACTTCGGAGACCACATTGTGTATGTGAAGGTCGATGAGGATTTAAAAATAACAATGGAAACCATTTTACAACTGTTTCACTAATTAGCGACCAACATTTTATATGCTGCCCTATGGTCGTACATAACCTGCAACGTCTAATGATGTGCCATAGAGATCATGAAGTATTACAATATCAGTACAGCCAGATGTTATATAGCTTCTGGTAGTAGAATGGGTGATTGATTAATTTTAAAGAATTTGGCCTTTCTGATGGCATTGCCCCAGTATTTTTGTTGGGACACAGATAAACCACACTTATCAATATAGTGGCTCTCAGAGCCGAGATTCGAATCCTGTACCTTTCAAATACGGGAGTACTAACAACCCAAAAAAGGACGTTGACCTTACAAATATTGAGTTTACAGTTCTGTTACACCTGAACTTGAAAGGTCACCCATCCACCTGTTCTGTTCATATCAAATGTTGCTGCAGTTGTCAAATTGTGTTGTACAGATTAGGTCTAGTCAAGATATTACAGTTGTGTGTTAGTGAAATGAACTATAGTGTTCAACAGCGGGTTTTTATGTATGATTCTTATGTAAAATACTCATCATGGAAAAAATGTGTTCAAAAGTTTAGCCAAAAATATCCTGGTTTTACACTGCCAAGTAAATCAACAATATACAGAATAGTGCGACAGGTTCATAGAACAGGTACTGTGCTTGACAAAAAGAGAAACCGAAGAAGGCATGTTTTGACTGAAGAGGTTCTGGACGATATTGGTGCTCAATTAGAAGCCAACCCAAACATATCAATGCGCAAGGTGGCTTCACAATGTGGAGTGTCAAAAAGCTCAGCTCATGTTGCAAGAATTCTTTTAAATAAACAGTCTCTGGATTGTGAAGTAAGAAGTTGGTATGTTGTCATTTTTCAAATGTGGTTTTTGTAATTTTTCATGTCACATTGTCAATAATGTTCATTTATTACAATGCTGACCATTTTTTTAAAGTTAATGATACTACAAATAACACTCTGCACAGTCAGATTCTTGTTTTTGTTAAATATTTACATTAAAAATATTTCATATTCATTAATTAGATCTGTTTTGTGTCATATACTGATCTTTTCTACAATGAACCATATTTTAGATAAATGACAGGTTGATCTGAATTCAGTATAAGGTAGGGGTTAAATTAAATTTTCCTTGCATCATTACTGTAGATATACTCTAATATTCCAAGTTTCATCAAAGTCCACTCAGTAGTTTTGGAAATGTGAGTATAATATGGGTGTGGGGACAAGTGAAGACATTAGATTGATTAAGAGAGTTCAAAACATAGGTATTTGGCAGAAAATTTTCTCTGTCAAGGACTTTTCACTGTTAAAATAAAACTTTACAGCATACAGAACTGTAATTTCTTATTTTATATTGAAGCACTTTATCTCTGCAGGTCCACAATGAATGCTCAGCATAACAAAGACAATTGTGTTTCTGCAGACTTACTGCAAGACAAAACAGAAACACAAACTGAGCCACCTGCAGAGATTGCAGATCCCAGGGAACATGAGCAAAGTATGACTGATGTCAAGATGTCACCAGTTGATTCTATAAAGGTATGTGACAATCACAATTATGGTGGTCATTGCCAGTTTTCTGAGACTTATCTGATATACATGACATTTCAAGAGTTGGCTCTACTCACATCTTCAAGTGATTAACTGTCACTGTGCTGACTGATATTTTTGATATGATGTAGTGGTTAGCATATATGCATAGTATTTCAAAGGTTTTGGGTTTCATCATGATCTTTGCCACTAGTCTCAAAAATAAAAGCAATAAAAACACCCATTAGTATTATGACAGCCAGTCTCAAGTTCTCAAATGCAGTGAAAATATCAGCATTGTGGGTTGTAACACAGTGTGGAATCGGTAGATACCAACATTTCAGAGGAACATAATTTCTACAGCTTCAGGACTGCATATGGAAGCACTATGTTCCTTTGAAATGTTGGTACATTATCTATCCATAAGTGTTATTTATCTATGGTGCTATGACCCGGAAGACCAACATCTCAGTCTTGAATAATGAACCAAAGACATGCACATGCCTTCAGAGAAATTTGTAGGTGCAGAGTGAATTTTTAAAAAGCCATAAACTGTAGGGTACTTATTTCTTATTTATATTTTAGGTTTATTTCAAGACTCTGACACAGTGATAATGGAATGGCAGTGTATGCTGAAATAAAAGATACAAACAACAAATGAACTTTGTAGGAGCAAGGGTGTATTCATCATGAACCCACTTCAGTATATACACCACTTATAACAATCAGCTACTTGAAGGTGGTGTGTCAGTATTATAAAACAGTGTTACTCAGAACAAGTTCTGTGGCATAAAGAAAGTTGTCTCTTTTGTGAGACTCATTACTCTTCCTTCATCGTTTTCAAGTATCAGTCATTACAATATAATTTCAGGATGTTCTAATAATTTTTTAGATATTTGTAACAACAAAGATTTGTTTGTGACTTTACATTTAATAAATGCAAAATGTAAAAGAGAATTGCACTGGAATCTGAACCCATACAACATTTCCAGAAATATTTTATTTTTCTGAGCACAAACCTTTTATCCATGTCCTGAGCTATAGATCTTAATTCTTTGGGGAGAACCTAAAAAATATATAATGGTCTGAAAGATGGGAGTGTTTGAATTTCCCTTGCAGTCTTTACAACATCAAAAACAGAAAACGTCACTGCCAGCATATAATGTAAGCTCATATAAATAACACAAAATTTCAGATATTACACATTTAAATTTCTTAAAATATATGAAAATGAACAAACACCCCACAACAGACACTTGTAACTAAGACCCAACAGCTGATAAAACAGTCATACACAATTTTGGCTAAAACAGTATGGAGCTATAAGTTTTCATGTGTGTGTTTTAAGTGGATGAATATATGTCATATTTTTATATAATTTAATAATTTTATAACTTTGACATAATTAATTATTAATGACAGTATTATGACAAAACTAATGTAATGCACAATTTGTGTTAAAATCAAAGAAGTATATGTGAAACAGCCTAAAGATGACTGTTATGCCAGGATGTATCTATTCCTGTAACAAAAAATAGTTGTGTTAATGGAATATATAAAACACCTATTCCAAAAAAAATATACTTGTGCTATGTATCAGATATCCTAGAATAAAGAGAATCCAGTGATAGATATAGAATACAAGTAAAATTGTATGATGTTAGTAGAGTTACTTGCATTATATAGATTACTACCAAACATCAGACATAATTTTCCAGATCATTCAATGCTTCTGCTTGTAACATTATGCCTCAAATTAATGCATCAAAGAGTCAAGTCATAGAATCACATAATTATAAGGCAACTTTTCATATTCATGTGACCAGTATCAATATATCTGTTATTAAACAGTTGTGAAACACCGCTGATTTGTAACAGTTTCACTTCCTTGGGCTTTATGTGAAACATGAAGTTACTGATCCGTACCTTGTACCAATTTAATTTAATACCTGTATATCCTTGCAATTTTCAATTGTAAAGGAAAAGCCTAATTATTAGTAATTGCGATATGTGGTGGAACAAACAATATTGTTCAAGGTCACTAACAAACATTAGCATTATGGGGAACCCCTGTGGTTTTAACAGTACATGAAGGATGGATGTTTTTCTTTTGAGAACTGGGACATCTAGTAAATAGTCACACCAACTCAGGAGGTCATAAGTGTTTAGTATGATGATGTGGTGGACTGGAGCAGTACTTTTTCTTGCTATTATGCATGTGATGGCAGATGATCTCATGGTTTTCACTGAAGAACCTGTTTCTGCCACTTTGAACTCTCAAGAAATGGAAGGATTTCATAAACATTTCAGAAAGCATTCCCATAGGATAAATGGTAAGCTTGTTTTCTGTTTCAGATATGTTACAATACTTGTAATTTCCAGTAATTTTCTAATGATATGAAAACTTTTAACTGAATTATGCAAATATTTAAATATATGGAAATGGTGGTCTTTAAAAGAAAGAATAATTGTAATGATGAATTAGGATGTGGAAGCGATCACAGCTTGAAAGTGCCGAAGAAAATCACAGAATCCTCTTTCGTGATTGCAAGGAGATAATCACACAGCAGAGTTAGAAATTAATTTTTCATGTACTTCATTAAATATACTCCACATCAAAAGATGTTAATATAAAGGTTTTGTAAGATAGGATATTCTACCAAAAAATCAAAGCTAAAAAAACATGCAACTTATAGTACAGGCCACGAATATAAAATTTGATCAAAATACATACGATACTTTTGAAGATGAAACATGCAAACTGACAGATGTAATCTCTTACAATTATTGTTTTAATTTTATTTACTCTGTAAAGAACAAAAAATAAACATAAAGGTAAGAGATTAAACATTTTTTTTCCAATACAGAACAAAGCATATTTCCAATGGGCACACCACATGTGAAGTTAAGTAATTCATATTAAACCCTAAATGGTAGGATGCACATAAAAAATCAAAGCATTCACATATCTAATTGTTGGAACAGACAGATCAGGTACTGGGAGCAGCTCATGTGTCTGTATATCTACCTCTAACTGCCAGACTATACCAGCAACAGATGGGTCAGGAGTCATCGACATTCGAATTGTGACAACGGTAAGAAGACAATGAGAAATATCTTGCTTTTTAAACTAAGACATTGTCTTATGCAGATCCATTAGATTTAATGTGACACTCTTTGCTTTTAAAATGGATGCAAAATCTAACTGCCCGATCAATAAACATGCCAAGCTGGGTTATACATAATCAGATTATGTGAGAAAGAAATGGTTCTCGGAATAAGGACCTCACAAAATTATCTATGTTACTTAGAGTCAAATAAGATAGTTACAGATATCATGTGGACTGGGTATATCTGCCTCAGAACAGGACAAATTGTAGGATCTTGTAAACACAGTAATGAACTATCAGGTTCCATAAAAGGCACATAATTTCTTGACAAACTGAATGACTATTAGCTTCTCAAGAAGGACTCTGCTCCATGGAGTTAGTTAATTTATCTGGGTTCCTCTTACTATGTAAAGTTGCTGTAAGCTGGTGCTGTAACGTAAAATCTTCCACAGCCGCCATCTGGTGTGACATGTACACAGCCTCTTGTATACTGCTGCTACACCAACCAGCCACGAACATACACATGTGGGACTAGAACTCCAATTCCCCTTGCAAATATAAAGTTGAAAACAGGACAGGTATGTATTGCTTTAAAGAACATTAATATTTCTGGGTGATGGTACTATACAGGTGTAGGACGTACTGCCAACATTTCAGGGATCCTTAATGTCTCCATCCTCATGGTGAAGTGACTACCCAGTGGCCCATGCTGATACAGGTCCATAAGGTGGCTGGAACTGTTCAGATTGATTTGTACCACTGAAATGCTGTAAAAGTCTGAAATCCTATATACCAGTTGCATTATTTCAGGCAATGTTTGCTGAATTCCCATGGTCAGCAATAATTCTAGGACCTGAAAATGACTACATTGGAGGAGGCGTACTTGTGGCTCCTCACCATGTCCTCACTGCAGCACACAAAGTGGTGTCATATGTGTAAGTACAAGGAAACTTACAATGTACATACCGTGTAAACAAAGGAAAAAGGGAATGTCATGAGTCCACCAGAATAGCAGTCTGTAGTTCCATTAGTTTTAAAGTACAAAGTGTGGAAACTTGTACTCCAGTGAGTATATATGTTTTCTTAATGTGTTCTTTGTATTTTGCATAATCTCAGTTCTGCAATATCCCCATTTACAGAAGCAGATAATAAATATTGCAGTTCTTTCTCTAGTTATTGGCTCCAAGTTTTCATTGTATTATGTTCTCAGGACATTGTTTTATCTTTTACACACTTTGTTTTCCCATAGGAACTGTCCAGGTGTGAAGATACGTCTGGGAGACTGGGACATTACAAGGAACATAGAACCATATAGTTATCAAGACTATGAAATCTCTAGTGTCTACATTCACCCACAATTCAATTCTGCTAATCTGCAGAATGACATTGCTATCATTAAACTGTCCCAACCAGTACCACTGGGGGTATATCCTAACATAAACCCAGCTTGCCTGGCACAACAAAATGCTGTTTTTACAGGGGAGAGGTAAAGTATAGAATTCTCATGCACCACTTAAAAAAGATAAACTGATGGAATGACAATTTCATTAATAGTGACCACTTACTTAAAAATTGATACTGATATGCACAATTTGTGGTAATCTTTGATACCTAAGTTAAATTGTGAAACAAATCTAAATAATTTTCTCTTACCAGTTGAAGTATCTTACATTCATGTCTTGTATCAGGTGCACTGTAGCCGGATGGGGCAAGGATGCATTCGGTCCTAACGGCCAGTACCAGAGTATACAGAGAGAGGCAAGGCTTCCAGTACTCAGATGGGCAGACTGTCAAGATAAGTTACAGGTCACACGTCTCGGTTCACAGTTCCAATTCAACCCCACCAGTTTCATTTGTGCAGGCGGAGAAGAAGGCTATGATGCTTGCACAGTGAGTCACGGTGACAATATTTCATACGACCACAGTCCAAACATCTTGTTCCAATTTTACTATTCTGATAATTACTCATATTAACATTCATCTAGCACTCTTGTTTCATATTCTGGAAGTCCTGGGATCAAATTTCAGCAAAGAGGTATTTTGAGGTTTTTCATAATTGTCCTCAGTCCCTCCAAGAAAATACTGGATAGTTCCTTAAATCAAGCCACAACATCTTTATATATCTTTTCCAATTCACATTATTCATTAATTATTCTATCATTTAATGTTATATTGCCTGGACTACTGACAGCATTGTTACATAAATCATAAACAAACATTAATGTTGTTACTATCCTGTATTTATGTTAATTAATCATACATGTGCTTGCTGCATAAAATGTTTCTTCGTTATAAGTCAGTACCCTTCAGAAAAGTATATTTGAATTTGCTTCAGATGGAAACAATTTACAGAATAATGTAAACCAAATAAACATTCATGATTCAACCAACAGACACAATTCCTACAAGCAATCTACTATAAACGACAAGATCAAAATAAATAATATTATTAACCTGCCTTATTTTGTGTCCTTCTAGGGTGATGGAGGCTCGGCACTGGTGTGTGAAATGAAGGGCCAGTATTATGTTGCAGGCATTGTTGCTTGGGGCATTGGATGTGCAGACAAAGGTGTTCCTGGAGTGTACGTCAATGTACCGAGCTACATGAACTGGATCAGTCAGAAAATATCAGGAACCTAGTTTTACCTGAAACAGTTCAGAATTGCTCAAATTACAAAGTATTTAGCCTTCAACGGCATCTTTGGTGTTCACACACAAATATATATTATACAGTGAAATCTCATTAAAGAGTAATTTTCAGTATGTAATAAATGTTAACATAAGTCTCCTAGAGACATGTAAGCTTACCCCATTATGTGAAAAGAGAATCTTAATTAATCATGCTTCATTTTATCTCTCATGCAACTGTTCTTACCTTGATATTATACATAATACTCTAAAATTATGTCTCTATGTTCAGTGCAACATAAAAAATAATTCCAGACACTAGAAAATCTTATACACTTTTATTTTCAAACAGCTTGGAAAGTGACTTCATTTCCAAAATAATAGGGCTTCATTTGACACATTTCCAAGGTATAATGCATAGTATGTTAAAAACAAACAGTTCACCATGTTATTTTACTATTAGCATGGTGACCCTTTTGAACACACAATTATTTTGTTTCACTTTTGAATGTAAAAGCATTGAAATTTATAAATTCAAAAGTATTCTTTAGTATGAGCAAGGCAAAACCAGTTTCTGCTCCAAAGAAATACAAACCTAATGCAGGGTTTCCACCAGATAAAATTATACATTTTATACAAAAATAGTACCAAGACAGCATGCAAGACAAATCACCACAACTTCCAATCTATACACCACACACTGTGAACACAAACTAATTGTTCATAAAGCACTCATCTGTTCTCTTGAAGCATTGTGTTAACTTTATTTGTATGGAATAAATAAAAATGTCTTTCACATTGTGAAACATCAGATCTTTAAAATATTTTATTTTGGGTCTAGGATGAAACTCAGTCTTATTTTTTATAGGAAAAACATTACTTCAGGGGCAAAGCAATCACTTTGAAAAATGAAAATAAAAAGTCTTCTGACTTACTTTCGTGGTTCAGTGGTACTCCATATACACAGCAGAACAAATGGGATAATGCGCATCATTGGCCATCTCCAGCCAGCTAATTGAGGTTTACACTCACAGCAAGTGCTCGGCTGGTTGAAGCTAACTAACGATGTGTTTCTCTGATCACTTCTTCAATGTTACAGTGTACGGAGTACCAGTGCACCAGAAAAAGTAAGACAGAAGACTCTTTATCTTTTGATTTTCAAAGTGTTAGCTCGGCTAACACAGTAACATGAACAATTTACCCATACATTACTTCAACACATATCATACAGACAAATCATGTTAACACAGCAACCACACAAGATGCAGATTGCCCTAAGTATATCATGCCTTTATATCACAGAAATGAGCCAAGTATCCTCTAACATTAAGAAAGGTATATAGTTACACACCACGGAATCACATTCAATGTGTCTACAATCTGGGAAGTATGAGAGCCCCAGAAAATTACAAAAATGTTGGAGAAGGCAGAGACTCAAAAACCACAACCGTCCAACCTCAATTAGGTGTCTTACCGAGTAAGTTACTTTGGTTTCCTCTTAACCCATTGGAACAAGGTACTGTTTTTTATAAAACTGCAGAATTGGAAGCCTGTATTTATAACATGTTTCAGTTAGAGAGGCTTATTTACTATGTCATTATCTTGGGAACAGCCATTCATATGTGACAACATATTTACCTCTACAGCTCCTTTACAAATATTTTAAAATTCAATCAGTGTTTAACTAAAAGTACCAAAAATTATTTTATTATACAAGGAAAAAATTTAAATGTTAAATATGCATTTTGGACACATGATAAAGATCCATGTTTCTCTAGTCCAAGTAATATGTCAAATGCCAATAGTTACTATGGATTGAAGATAACTTCCATACTTCATATGTACTATGATATCAGAATCAGTGTGTACATGCAATACATCAATAAATACAGACATACAACAGTACTGTGCCTTTTTTCATCACACTGTATGTGCTTCTCATCATACGTGATATTTATCTGTTAATTTATCTTGTTTTGAATAACATACACAGCTCTTAGTAATAATTTTTATAATGAATTTTGATTAACTACTGTATTTTTATGTTCATGAAAATGTCATATTTTGAGGATTATATCAACAATAATTTTCTTTGGATGGTAAGATGTTTTATATGTAAGGCATGTTTGAAAACTAGAAGCAGAGCACTAAGCTATGAGATGCATCTCAGTAATATAACCAATAACTATTGGGCATTCAGAAAATTACTTTACATGTGGCAAATATATTCATAAATATAGGCTGAAGATTATACAGTGCTATACACCAATGGGTTAAGTGGTTCCCAGACATGTTGCAGAAGAGGATAGAGTCCATTAAGCTGATAGCTCTGAACTAGAGATACACACTGAAGTACCTCCTTACAGAATCCTTTAATGACAGAGTGCTTAAAAATAAATTGTGAAGTACATTTTCTTACACATGAAGCTATTCTCAAAAAAAAAAAAAAATGTACTGTTTTCTCTTTGTATTTATGTTACTGTGGAATCCTTCAAAAGATGTCTTCTGCCCTGTCTCTGTCATGTGTTATTTTACATTAAGATCAATCCATTAACTACTACTATTCATTCTTCTAAATCAAAAGTGCTCTTAAAATTCATTAATGTCACTACTGCTTACATTACAAAGTCTGAAAACCTTCTGTATACTGTCCGTAATAATCTAATATATCTAAAGTTTTATTATTCACAAAATGTCTTGGATATTTAAAATGACAAAGGACCACAGTCTGTTTCTACATACAGATATAGCACCAAAGGACTGTATGTGTACTTGTGCAAAGATTTACAGCTAAATTCTTAACATTTGTTCTAAAAGTATGAAATTATAAAAAACACGATTGAAAAATTATAAACTGTAAAGGAGTACATAGAGCTTCTACATGCGTTCTTTGCACCTTGGCAATCTAAATGCTCCTAAACTGTTCCAAACAGCTTTGATCACTAAATAAATATAACATAAGATTTTAATATTAATTTTTGTCTGTCTCTTCTACTGTTTCATTTGTTTATCAGAAAATGTTTTGAATATATTTCTTTCATTTCATGTTTACATATTGCAAACTATCTATCAACTCCTAATGTAATAGCCTACGTCTGTCAAATTTAACTGCAATGTGGGAAAAAAATCAAGTTCTGAAAGTAATGACTCTGGTAGCAAGAAATGCAAATGAGGCCATGGTGACACTTTTGGTGGGGTCTGGCAGAGTCTGCATTTGGCAGGAATCTTGCTTCAGTCTCTCTGAAGGGTGTGTTGACATTTAGTTTACCTTATACAGAAATTTCATAAATATTTTCAATGTGATTTGGAAAGGGAATTTTGCAATAAATTGTATTTCTGTTCAACACAAAAAAGGTTCATTCCTCTCAGCCTGATAGTCCATACTACGCTAGTTCTACAGATGCAATATGTCAACATTTTTCATACCCTGTTAATTTTAAAGACAATTATTAACAAAACAAAGCATTTAATAACTTAATTAGACAAATAACCTTTTACCTTTATTGGTCACGTGTCATAGCTAAAGCACTTTTCGACTAGCTGTGTCTGAAGAGTAACGTGGCTAAACCATACCTAAGGCAAAGTTTGACCAGCAGCTCTACACAATGGGTGTTTAAATTCCCTGTTGCCATATAATAGGGATTAATTTAAATTTTATAATTTGTATGTTGTTAATGTAATATAAAAGTAAGGCGGATAAGGAAATTTAGTGTAGTTCAGGAGCTGTCATATGATCAAATCCTGGACAAGTCAAAATATTTTTATTGCTTGTCATTTTAAAAATCTTACAGATTATTATTATTACATTAAGTATGACTAGTAATAATAATAATAATAACAATAATAACAGTATTATTTATGTTCCTCTCAAGTAAAACTTATTATTTTGAGATTTTCAGTGGCAACCATATCTTAAATTCATAATTTCTAAAAGTTCACTTAACAGACTATAAACAGTACCATGTTCATGATCTGTCACCACATCAAATTTCAAGTGTATAGTAACACCACTGGTTCATCAGTTAATTAAATCAAAACAAGGAAGCTAAACACAAGTTTCATGTGGCCAGTCATTATACATTCTAGAGGGTCCAGTAGAGAAGACTGATGATTTTATGTTGAGTAGTATACGACAATGTAAGGAGTGCAGAGGTTTTGAAGGTCACAGCTGTGCACATGCGACAATGTAGTTCCAGCAAGATGGCGCATCACATTACATACTGTACAACTGAATACGGTGAAGTTGCATGAAATGTTTCTCCACTTAATCTCATAATTTTGGGGACATTATATGTATCATACTTATTTCCAAAATTTCTGTTACATATTAATGTGCCACTTTATATTAGTTACTGAATGAAACAATTTATTCACAAATCAAAAAAGTCAGTTTTCTCTGCCAGACCCTGCACAGAATAATTAATTTAACAAAGGCTGTTATTTTTATAAAAAACTGTTAGTATGCATCATTTCAGTACCTTACATTAAGCGGTTCTAGTGTCACTCCCACCCCACAAGTTTATGAATCCAGCATGGTACTACCAACTGTCAGAAATTAAATGCATGACCTGGTAGCCTCCAATGGCATAACACCTACAATGAATTTTATCAAAATCCATCTAGCAGTTCTCAAGTTGAAACACATAAAAGGACTGGCATGATCATATATGTTCATTTTATGCACACTGTGGAAAGAACGCATAATAGAAACTAGAGTGAGCATGGTTTGATACACCATAAAAAACATTAATTACACACCATAAACTACATTTCATTTCCTAATCTTATAACTATGTACACTTGGGTAAAATACAATTATAATCAATACAAAAATAAAACAGA